CATGATTTTAGCGACATTATTTACCGGAATTGTTTCAAATTTCGCATTTGAAGTTCGTAATGAATAGTACAGCCTATGACGTAAAATTGTCTGTGCAGGTCCACGTCTCCATATAGCCCCCATATAACGGTACCCCCCCGATATTCGGTACTTTGATGCTTTTAGCGACATTATTTACTGGAATTGTTTGCACAGAAAATTACCTATGCATTATAAACAGTTTTTTTTGAATATTGTAGTAACTTGTGACAAAAGTTGCCTATGCAGGTCCACATCGTCGTATAGGCTCTAATATACGGCTACATTAGGTATTTTCAAGATTTAAACAGATTTTTAAGGGATTTTATTTTTTTGAAAATTGTTAAATTTGTACCAAATGGTGGAGGGTATTCAAAGTTCAGCCCGGCCAAACTTACAGCTTTTTTACTTGTTACTATCGTAAGATTTGCTGTGAAGATGGGATATATCGGTCCACTACTTCTGGCACCACCTCCACAGCGCATAAAGACTTTTAAAAACAAAACGCTCGGAGAAAGCGAAATAAGCCTCCAATTCTCTTCAATTTTCATACATACAAACATTTTTGCTAATGCAAGATCTGTTGTGAATATGATATATATCTGCAAACACCTTCAGATAACTCACCCACAAAGGATAACAATTATCAATACTTTTAACTGTCATAACTTGCGAAACAAGTCAACGTTTCATTACAACTCGCTATATCTAAACATTTCTTTCAGCCAGAAACCTGAGATGAATATGGAATTTATGATTTCGCATAAAATTGGACATTAATGTTCGATTTTCTTGTAATCTTACCCATACCAAAATTTTTGCCAGTATTAGATGAAGTATGAAAATGGAATTCTTCGGTCGACTATATCTGGGTACCTCACCCAAATTTGAACATTTTCTAAAAATTATCACATACCTAATATAAATCGAAGGATGTTACCAAAATAGTTTAAACCTGCCACGTCGCAATATTTATATCATATTTATTTAAGTCCGATACTAAATGGACAATATTTTACCATTTCTTCGGAACCCACACAATAAAGGCTCAACAAATTGAATAATCATAACAGAAGTCAAAATATATTTTTAATAATCGAACATTGGCCGAGGATATACCTCTGTCGTCAAACCCTATTGACACTTTTTAACTTGTTCTGTAGGTTTTTTTATTCATATACGCCTCTTTGTGGGTCTCCTAATGATAGAAGACAATTTAGGGGCGTCTATAAAGAAATAATGTTTTTTTAAATTTAAAGGCTCATTAAACACCAAATCAACTGACCAAGGTTTACTTGCGGCTCCGTGTGACACTACAAATGTTTGTTATAATTACCTAGAGTTTGGGAATATAATTCAAATGAAAATTCCCCGAACCAATACTCACAGAACTATCTCCCTTTCTAGCTATAAAATCTAAGAGACATGGCGATTAATCCACTTCAATTACTTAACCCACTTCGATAATTCAATTTTCATAATTGTGTTATTTTTTTATCAAACTCATCGCCAAATGGAATATTCAAACCAACCAAAAAAAAAAAAAAAAAACATTACAAAATCTTGTTTGCTCAGATAATGAACTAGCATTTCAATACGAGCACAAACGACACGACTCCCTTGCCATAAAATAGAATTAACCGTTGTCCATGTAGCTGCGCTATTATCCTTTCCAAACATTCACAGTAATTTGAATTGCGCCTGAGGTGTGAAAAAGAAAATGTAATTTTTCTTTTTCTTATTTCCATGCTAGTTATGTATATTTGAGATGAGATGAGGAGAGATGAAATGAGAAAGAGGAAGGATCCGGGTTATAATAGACGACCAACCGCAAGACTTAATTAACTTGCAAATAACACAACACAACAGACCCAATGTTCGAAACGAACAAAAAAATGGAATCTTGTACTCAATTTGTTTAAAAAATATTTAAATCAAGTATTCCGTGGATGTTTTTCATGTCGCGTTTGGAGTTTATTTTCCGCTGATCTAAAAGTTCTATATTATCAAGTTAAAGAATGAGAAGCATTCAAAAAAATGTGATTTGGGGCAATACAATATTTTTTGTAAGTGTTGAATGAATGTTATGATTAAATAACACTGATACCATAATGTTGCCAGGAATGAGGTTATTTCAATTCCTTCCTTAGGCTACATGTACAATATTTAAATAATAACACGTACAACGTGTTTAGCCTGAGGGTAATATTATGATTTAAGTAGAAACAAAAAATAAAAAAAAACGTCGATACAAACCAACTTTGTATACGAAAAATTAAAGGTAGCAGCTGAACTTTAATATTTGAAATTCCTGTTTTCTGATAGATGCCACACACAACTCGAATTCCACTTGGTATTATGGCAATGTTTTACTTAGTGCCTATAAATCGGTGGTAGAGTCCTTTGGGAGCTATATCAAATTGTGGACCCATATTAGCATTTTCTGCAAGGACATCAGGTACCCATTAAAAACACTAAATTTCATATTACAAAAAAAAAGAACATTAAGTTCGACCGGGCAGAACTTTTAATACCCTCCACCATTGGGTAAAGATAAAATTTTTATATAAAAGTATCTGAATTCAAACGTGTTCCACTTTAAAATACAAATACCAGTAAGACTTTTTGAATAAAAAAAACATAAAATGGGTGAAGCCTTTAACGGGAATTACCAAGATTCCGGTCTTTTGGGTTGATATTAGCCTTTTAACGCACAACAAGCTTGAAATCGGATAAAGATACATGGGAGCTATAGCCAAATCTTAACCGATCTTGACAAAATTTGGCAGAGCTATTTTCGAGCTGTATCTGATATCTGGTACCAATAAATATCGAATATCTTGTTGGATTCACGAATGTGAGGGACTTAAATACCAAATCAGATGAAATTTATACATATGGTAGCTATAGCTATATCTGAACCGATATTTACCAAATCGGATGAGATGAAAAAACTGCAACAAAGTCAAACGCCGTAATTTTTACATTTTTTTATTTTATTTTATTTTTTTTTTTTTTTTTTTTGAATGAAAGCAAAAAATGTCGGAAAAAGCATCGAATTTCAGAATAAGTTTAGTTTTGTTCGAATTGGTCACCTTTGGCACGAATTATGACCATCAGAAGGTCAATGAAACCGTCACACACTGCCCGAATGTTGCTCTGCGGTATTTTGGCCCATTCCCGGCGAAACGCTTGCTTGAGGTGATCGACAATTTGGTATTTTTTAGTGCCAACCTTGCTTTCCAAAATACTTCAGACACAATAGTCCAACGGATTGGTATCCGGAGATTTTGGTGGCCATTGTGCGCTGGAAATGAAGCGAGGAACCTCATTTTGTAACCATTCTTGGGTGGCGCGTACTGAGTGCTGTGTCCTGTTGGAATGTCCAAAGTCTGCGGCCAAAATGTTTGCGTGCCCAATGCTTTAATACACCGTCCCGAATATTTTCGCGATAATATTCGGCTTTTATTGTGATGCCACGGTCGAAAAATACGAGCGGAGAGCGACCATCGGCTGTTATGGCAGCCCACACCATCACCATGACCGGCGCTTGAGTTCTGGTGGCCAACCGAAGGTGCCCACTATCAGCTGACCTCTTTGGCAAATAATCACGATCATTTTGTTTGTTTACAAACTGCTAGACAACGAATGTTTTCTCATCGGAAAAAATCAAGTCGCTTCTTTACTTTTCCAATCATTTCTGCTGATGTTGCTGTTTTCTTCCCTCCACGTCCACGTCCACAGCTGGCGAACGAGTGGCTTAGTAATGACAGCAGTTGGTTGCAGCTTTTTCATCGCACCTTGAATTTCATTGGAATCGGATATACATATCGTCTTTGGTGCAAAATATACATGAAATCGGCCGAAGTATATGCGTATGTGGGAGCTATACTCAAACCTCAACCAATTTCATAATAATTTGGCAAATTTTCTTTGGTACTGAACTTGGTTTTTCTGTCCGAATTTCATTAGAATAGGACATGCATATCGCGTTGATGCACCAAATATGTAAAATCTGTCTAAAATATATATGGGAGCTTTATCCAAATCTGAACCGATTTAAATATAATTTGACAAATTTATTTTTGTATTAAACTTAGTCACTTATGCCGAATTTCATTGGAATCGGACATTCGTATCGCGTTTGATGCATCAAATATGTAAAATATGTCGAAAAGATATTTGGGAGCTATATCCAAATCGGAACCGATTTCAATATAATTTGGCAAACAAATTTTTTAGATAAATTTCATATCACATTCCAAATTTCATTGAAATGTGGCGTACACGGCGTGTTTTTTATGCTTCGAATACCTGTAATCGGCCGAAAATGTATATATGGAAGTTATATCCAAATCTGAACCGATTATAATATAATTTGGCAAATTTATTTTCATGCCAAATCCCGTCACGCATTCCAAATTTGTAACCGATCAATAGATATGTGCATATAAAATTAAAATTTTTGGAGGTACCCCCAATTCCACTTGAAATTGGAGATATAGCATCTCAATATAGTGATTGAAAGAGACATTTTTGCTCTGTAAGACGGGATAATAACTTAGCACAAAGGCCTAAAATATATCAGATAAGATAAAATTTAGTCCAGTTTCAAAAAAAAAAAAATCCTTAAGGAATTAAAAATGGGTCTATTGTGCCTATACACCAGAACCAATGGTTCCTGTCAATGATTGAAAATAATTATTTTAATTATTTCATTATTTCTCAAAAAAGTCTCAAAATTGTCTGTGGTTTGAAACTTTGCCTCCATTTCATCAACACCAAAAGAACTCGCTATTAAATTGATATACATATATTGTATGTTGCCCCCCCCTCTTTCTACATCCGAAACGATTAAACATTTATATTGGAAATATAATTCAATTAAAACAAACTGTCTAAAGATATTATCAGCTATAACAATAATATTATTACAAGCTCTTCATACATAATAGCAAATATTTCATTTATATCTCTTGCAGGTGAAGACAAAAGACATAACAAAGACCGGAGATATCTAACAAACTCCTTCCTTGTTTCGCTGAGCATACACAAAACATAAGACAAATAAGAGAGAGAGAGAGGAGTCAAAGTCAGAAACAAAGTTAAAGAAATTGAAATAAAACTTTTCGGTTTTGTGTGAAGAGAAAAGAAAAATAAAGAATTTAATTATACTACGGCATACAGTTGGTCTGGTTGGGTCTGGTCTGGAATAGCTCTTGTGTCAACTGAGTGTCAAAACAATAGGCTCTTAAACACGAATCTACAGCAACACCTGCACAAGCACAGCCACATTCACAGAGTCGGAGTCAGAGGAAGAGAGGCAGAAGAAGAAGGTTTGAAGTTGAATTGCCCTAACCACAGTGTCACAGTCATCAACAATTTGCAATCAACTCGAACCTGGGTGACGGAACAAACGACCGAGCGAACAAACGAACAAACAGCATGAATTGAGTGTGCGGTATATATGAACACTTTGCTTTCTCTCCTACTCCTCCTCCGCCTGCCGCTCAGTTACAAGTCATTTCATTTGGATAACATTTACAACAGGGTTACGGATTTACAACAACACCACCATCCAACAAAAAAGAGGAAAATTGCCTTTAAAAACTCCTGAAGGCTCTCCTCTTTGCCAGCGCTGATGATGAATTGATTTTGGAAAGCAGCAACAGAAAAAAATGGTAAGTACTGTTACGCATAAATTTTCCTGTTGCCTATTTTTGCAGAGCTGGCGTTCGGTCGCTCGGCAGAGATATTCGGTGTCACCTTTTGTCTCTCCAAAACACACGTTGCGAACCGAGAGAACAGTTGATTTTATTAGCGAATATGTTTATAATTCTTTTAAGGGTTCAATTTGCGCTTTGAACTTTGAAACCGAGACCTTTTTTTCGAATTGAATTAAATATCAGCTGAGTTGGCTGAGAGTAGGGACAGAGTCAGACCACCCGCCACCCAAGTGCTCCGGCATCCTGGCACAGAAAGTTTTAAGGTAATTAAGGTTTGTTTGATTGCGAAACAAAGGAGGACACACGGTTGTGGGTATTTAGAATGGAGGCTTTAAAATTTAATTTTCTCCTTGTGTGTTTGTGTGTGTGTGCGTTTGTTTATTTTTTTGGTATATCAGCAATTTGTTAATGAAACAGGTCTATTGTTTGAAAGTAAACAACAAACAAGTAATTAATCGAATCGTTGTTGTACTGAAGTGGATCTTATAACAATGGGGTATAACAAGAACAATGGAATGTGTTGAGAGTTTTTAGGGAAGGAGATGGTCAAAGCAGGAATTTTTTAATCAGAATTTAGGCAGTGGAGGTTTTACTTACCTAGTTTCCATAATGACAATTAGGTACTAACCCACCGGACAGTGATGTTATGTGGGTCGTACTAATCTTTTTACCCTGTTAGAGAGTTTTGATGGAGTTAGAATCTTGAAATTTTGCATATGTTTCAATGTTGGCAGGCAGGGATGAGATAAGGCTGGGTTTTTTAGAAACTTGGACTTGAAGTTTGGTATACTTTATTATATCATCCACCATACATAGTAGGGAGGGTACGCAACCCATAGTTTTTCTAAATTTTAAAACTTTCATTAGTAGCTGGCCTTCGATTTTAAAGTCAATATCTTCTGAACTACAAGAGATATCAGCACATACGTCATTTTGGTAAGACAAAAGTGCAGGTTATATGTCCGGGCACCTAAATTTCCTACCTTTTGGTGTTTTGTGAACAGATACATATATTCTTGACATAAAAATTAATTGGTATAAAAATTAATTTTTATACCCTCCATCAAAAAAAGTATGGAGGGTATATTAAGTTCGTCATTCCGTTTGTAACTCATCGAAATAATCATTTTAGACCCAACAAAGTATATATATATTCTTGATCAGCGTAAAATTCTAAGACGATTTAGCCCTGTCCGTCCATCTGTCCGTCTGTTGTAATCACGCTACAGTCTAAACGAATTAAGATAGAAAACTAAAATTTTGCACAGATCTCTCTTTTGTCAGCAGGCAGGTCAAGTTCGAAGATGGGCTATATCGGTCCACGATATCGTATATCCCCTATATAACGGTACCCCCCGATATTCGGTATTTTGATGATTTTACCCACATTTTTCATCGGAATTGTCTGAAAATCCACACAAGGAGTTCCTTGTGGGTACTTTATACCTCGGCAGAGAATTATCTATATAAGTCCACCATATCGTATAGCGCCCATATAACGGTACCCCGATATTTGGTATTTTGACGATTTTCTCCACATTTTTCAATGGAATTGTCTGAAATTCCACAAAAGGAGTCCCTTGTGGATATTTTCCCCCCTCAAAAAGAATTGTCTATAAAGGTCCACGATATCGTATATCCTCCATATAACTATACCCCCCGATATTCGGTATTTTGATGATGTTAGCCACATTTTTCAATGGAATTGTCTTAAAATCCATACAAGTAGTTCCTTGTGAGTACTTTACCCCCTGAGAGAGAATTGTCTATATAGGTCCACGATATCGTATATCCCCCATATAACGGTACCCCCCGATATTCGGTATTTTGATGATTTTAGCTACATTTTTCAATGGAATTGTCTTAAAATCCACACAAGTAGTTCCTTGTGGGAACTTTATACCTCGTCAGAGAATTATTTATATAGGTCTACGATATCGTATAGCCCTCACATAACGGTACCCCCGATATTCGGTATTTTGAAGTTTTTAACCATAGTTTTTAACGGAATGGTCACAAGGGGTTCTTTGTCAGCACTTTACCCCCGACAGAGAATTCTCTATATAGGTTAACGATAACGTATAGCTCCCATATAACGATACCCCGCGATATTCGGTATTTTGATGATTTTAGCCACATTTACCAATCGTATTGTCTAAAAATTCACACACGGAGTTCTTTGTGAGTACTTTACCCCTGAAGCGGAATTGTCTATATAGGTCCACAATATCGGATATCCCCCATATAACGGTACTCCCCTATATTCCGTATTTTGATGATTTTAGCCACTTTTTCCAATGGAATTATCTGAAAATCCACACAAGGAGTTCCTTGTGAGTACTTTACACGCAGACATAGATTTGTCTTTATAGGTCCACAATATCGTATATCCCCCCATATCCGCACCTTCCTATATTAGATATTTTAAAGATTTTAAAAGAATTTTTAATGGATTTTATTTTTTTTTTTTTTTGAAAATTTTCTAATTCGTTCCAAATGGTGGAGGGTATTCAAAGTTCGGCCCGGCCGAACTTACTGCTGTTTTACTTGTTAGTAGTAATGTTGATATAGGTAGGTGTTTTTAAAAAGTGTGCTAAGTGAAGTAAACAGATTGATCTGGAAATTGTAAATTTTGGTACAGGGGTTTCTGCTGATGGGTAGGGCAGGTGTACTCTGAAATTTGGCATTATAATCACGTTTTGTGTGTAGGGTTGAAATTTGGTGGTGGTTTTGGAAATACGTACTAAAAGAACTGAACGGCATTAAATTTGGTATTTGGGTGAGAGATTGAGTTGGAATCCTAAATGTTGTCATTAGGATCACATTTAGTGCGTTTTCGTTGAAGCATAGCGGGGGGTGTGGAAATACGTACTAAAAAGTACAACAATTATTAAATACGTGAACCAAAAGTACTAAAAAGGACTACCATGCCGAATTATGTGAACGGATAGTGGTAAAATCTTGAAATTTGGTACGATACTAAATGGTACTAAATTTGGTACAATCCCCTTTTGGTTTGATATTTAGATTACTGATTGTACCTGTATTTGAGATTTGAGGGTGATTTTGTAAATCTGTATAATTATACGAAAAGTACTAAATGGTACTAAATGTTGTTTATTGGGAGAAGAGACAGAAGTAAAATTCTGAAATTTGATAGTTAGATCACTAATGGTATCTGTTTTTGGAATTTTACGATGATCTGTAAAAGTACTAAATGGTACTAAATTTGGTATTGGGTGAAGGAATAGAGCTGGAATTCCGAAATATGATATGTTGATAATTGAGATATGGAGTGGAATTTGGAAATATATACTAGGTAAAGGAATAGAGCTGAAATCTTAAAATTTGATATGGATTTCAATTTTGGTGTCTGAGGTTGAGAGAAGGAGCTGGTTTGGAAATACGTCGTATATTTTTACGAAAAGTACTAAATGGTACTTAATTTGTTATTGGGTGTGGGAATAGGGCTGAAATTTGATATTGAGGTCTCAGTTGGTGTTTGAGGTTATATGTGGAGGTGGTTTTGAAAAAGAGTACTATAACTGTGCGAAAAGTACTGAATGGTACTAAACATGGCATTGGGTGAAGGAATATAGTTGGAATTGTCTTTGAAGTCTTTTGAAGTTAAAGAAGTTAAACATCTACCTATTTTTCTTTCCGCAAAACGACAATTTTGAAGAATCTATAAAACGTTGATTGTCTGATAATTTAGTACAACATAGGGAAGTTTTAATTTGAAGAATTTAAGAATTAAGTTAAGAATTGTTGCAACGAATCTAAAATTTTAAGGTGGAATTTTCGCTGACGAAGTAGACAGCTCCCCATTTATTTCCCTTTGGCAATAATTTCGTTATAAAAAACCATAAGCTAAATTAAAACCAAATTGTTTTACAACAACAACAAACAAAACATTTAATGAATTAAATTCAATTCCACGAATCTGAAGTAGATTAAACAAAAAGCGAAAAGAAAAATGTGTTTAAAAGAATATTGTTGCTTTAATTTAGTTTTTCATAATAATGTTATCTAAACCGCACATACCAGCATTTTGAGTATTTGATGTTTATAAATTATCATCCGCACATGCAAACAAATTAAATTGGTTTTGTGCGAAATGGTAGAGGGTATAAAACGCGGCACAGTAGGTTCGAATGTTACAAATTATGATGACAATATCATATACGAAATAATGTTCATACATCAGTTCATGACATACAGGGTTGCCCATATTCGACGGACCTTTGGGCCCATTCCAATCGACGAGGCTTGTCCGCAGGCAACATTCTTTGAGCCAATTGAATTTTGTATAGGAACATATGCAAATCAATGCGAATAATCCGTTGTAAAGTGGACCGAGCAATGCCCAACTGCTGAGAACGGCGTTTTTGGGATGTTCTTGGGGACCTCTCAACACTGGCTCGTACAGCAGCGATATTCTCTGCCGGTGGCCTTGGTCGACTTTTATATGGCCTCTTCGGATTAGAAAGAGCCTTACCAGTCGAAAATTTTTCGTATAAACGCTAAATTGTGTTCTTAAAAGGCGCACTTCTAAGATTTTTTAATGTTTTAACAGCACGTTGAATTTTCACAATTGACTTCTTCTGTTGAATGTAAATTTCAACTATTTCAGAGCGCTCGCGTGGCGTGTATTGGTTCATGGTAAAAATCTGCTTGGACTGACGCTTCAAACGCGGTATGTCATTAAGCGATGTGACATCTCTGTCAAAAGTTATGGCGTTGCCAGATGGGTCCGTAGAATATGGGCAACCCTGTACAATTTTCGGGTAGGTAGTCTTTTACAGGTTAAGATCCAATAAGTCTAAACTGAAATAAATAATTCTTTCAGTACAATTACAATATGCAACACAAAAAAATCCAGAAGATTATAAAAGAAGAAATAACAAGATAAAAAGCTGTAAGTTTGGCCGGGCCAAATTTTGAATACCCTCCAC